CTTATATCTTCCCCCCCCCTCCCATGATGTTCCCAGGACCTCCAGATTATTTGCCAGGCATTTCTCCTGTGTGAATGTCGTACCTCAATGGTATAGTCCAAATAAAACTTTTTGAGGCCAGGTAGTACAGGTATGTAGCCCAGGCTGGCACTGAACTGTAATTCTCTGAGAGGTGGGATCCCAGGTCTGTCTGCACCAACACACCCACCTCAGTCCTCAGTCACTGTTCTTTCATTCCTGGAACTACTATGAATACTGTCCATGCATAGTCCAAATAAAACTTTTTGAGGCCAGGTGGTACAGGTATGTAGCCCAGGCTGGCACTGAGCTGTAATTCTCTGAGAGGTGGAATCCCAGGTCTGTCTGCACCAACACACCCACCTCAGTCACTGTTCTTTCATTCCTGGAACTACTATGAATACTGTCCATGTAGATTTCAGGAGTCATTCCCTTTTTATTATTTAATCTTGAACACTCTTTCCAAGGTAGAGAAATTACCAATTCCCTTTGAAATGAATTATAAATGTACTTCACACTATCATAATTGCCCTGTTCCATGAAGTTCAGTAGTTTGTAGAAAGCAGAAGGAATTTTCTGTAGTCACATTGACCTACCCATACATGTTACGATTTCCACATGTGAGTTTATTCACACATACACACACACACACACACACACACACACACACACACACACACACACACACTCACTTCATGTTTGACCTCCTGAAGACTGACTGGAGGTGTCTGCCAGCCTGATCTTGTCTACTTTTTTCCATTCAACTTGATGGTCCTTCCTGTGTTCTTCTGATGTGTTCTAGCCTTGTGCAGTCTTGCATTCTCTGTCTCTTCTGGAATCTTCTTCTACCTGCATCATGTTCTGGCTTCAAGCTTGACCCTTCCTCATGATTTTGGGCATTGGTCAACAGATATCCTTCCAGCAAGCACTCCTGGACCACAAGATGTACAGTGCCTATGAGCTGACATTTCTTCCAAACCAGGACATTTCCTGGAGGGAGAAGGGATGTTCATGACTCACTGGAATCTATAAGATCTGGGAAACTCAAAAAGTTAAGAGTCACAGGCCCCTTCCACAAGTTATATAAACAGTAAAAAATATCATACACACACAGAAAGAGACAGTGGGGGTGGGATTCATCAGAGGAACTGCTTGCATCTGTACCTGTGTGGCTAATCCACACAGTTATCCATGCTGAATCTTTATTCATCTCCTTCTGTGACTTTCTTCCTTCTCTTACTTCTTTGTCACTAATGACTCCATGTTTCTTGCTCTCCAGCAACCACAGCTCTGAGAAATGGCTCAACACTGACTTTATTGGAAGGAGAGTCCCTTCGTATGGTCTGTACTGTTAACAGTAACCCTCCTGCCAGGCTGAACTGGGCCTATGAGAACCTAATTCTGAGTCCCATGCAGTCCCCAACTCCTGGATTGTTAGAACTACCTCAAATGCACCTGAGATATGAAGGAAAATTCACCTGCTCTGCACAGAATGTCCTCGGATCTCAGCACATGTCTCTGAACCTGCTCTTATATCGTGAGTGTCAAGTGACTGCTAATGGGACCCTCCCACCCCCCGCCATTCAGAAGGATCCAGGGTTCCTGGTCACTGAACAGCAAGGGAAGAGCCCTGCTCTGCCTCACATTAGTTCACATCCATGTGCTTGAGGTTCAGAGCTCTGGGTAGTCAGAATGTAGGGTTGGGTACTCCTGGGATCACATGGTCTTAAGTTCAGGGATGAGGGGGCGTTTAGAGGACCTGATCCTACTGAGAGAGGAAGGTCTTTGGGCAGTGGTTAACCCATGATGCTAGCACTGACCACATTTCTGCAGGGAAACCAGGGCTGATGGCAGAGGTGGTTCTGGTGGCTGTGGTTGAGGCAGCTGTTAAAGTCCTGCTTCTTGGGCTGTGCCTCATTATCCTCAGGTGAGTGCTGCCCCTGAGAGAGGGGGAGTGTATGGGGAGGGAAGTCAACCGAAGCTAAATACCAGAGTCTCAGTACTGGGGTACTAGAAATGGGCTGGGGTGTGGGGAGAGGTAAGAGGATTGTTGGCAGGCGTGGCCATCACTTAGTTCCTCAGGTGAGTGAAGTAGATCCCTGCACCTGCCTCACTTCCTTTTGCACCTTTCTTGTAATGATCACAGAATGACCTGCCTGGCTCAGCATGGCCACAGCCAGATAGCCAACCCCATCCTGAACCCTTGTCCCTGCCAAGCACGATGAAGCTCCTGGTCTCGTCTGTACCCAGATCCAGGCATGGGTCTCTACCATGAGCTCTCTCCACCATTCTTCATGCCATGAAGAAGCACCACCTGGTCTCTCCCTCCCTCCCTCCCCCAACTCTCTGCTCACTCTGGACCAGTCTTACTCCTTTCTCTACCTGAATACCCGAATTCTGATCATCTCTGGGTTTCAAATGTTTCTAGTCACAGAATTCCCTTCATCCACTAGCTCCAGTTATTGACTGTGGCCCTCAGGAATGACCTTCCTGATGGAACCATTGCCTACTTCCTCCACTACTGCCTGAACAATCCTGAACCCTCACCATAGATGGAGATGGGCAGACATCACAGCCTGCAGCAGGAGCCTTGCATGGTCTCGGTGCTGCTGGACTCTCTTCCCCATGTTTCCTGTTTGCTGCATTGTGATTTTCCCTCTCAGCCTTCCCGTCCCCCATGTTGAAATTTGTATGAGTTTCCACACCTCAAAGCCCTTCCCGAACCTCAGTCTCCCGTCCCTTATCTGAGCACCTCAGCCTCTAGCGCATATTATTCTGGGTAGGCATGTGTTTGCCATGCACCTCAGACCATGTGCAGAAGTGACTCTATTACTACATGTGGACCATTTTCCTGGGTGCCAGGTATGCCCCAGGACACAGAACTGCTCCATTCTGTTACCAAAGATTGACTGATGTAAAGATGAGAACAGGAGTAAAAATACGGCAGTGAGTTAGGAAATGCCAACTGGAGATGTGAGTGAGTGGGCAGACAACTGACGTAGGAGGGGCTGCGGACGCCAGTGATGCTTGGGAAACTCTCCAAGGAGAGCAGGCAGCCTCTTTGAGTCTGTTGGAGGAAGACGCCTCAAGGAGATGAACTGGGGAACAGTGTGCCCGATGGCTTAGAGGCAGAAGCTAGCCTGCAGTGTGGTACCCACACAAAGACTGAGATTTAGAGCAAATGGAGGCAGAGGGAGGCAGTGGAAAATGCTAACCTCTAGGGAACAATAAGAAACAAGAGCCTTTGAGAGAAGCAGAGCTGTGGCTGGATTTTCATGTTAATGGAATCCCAAGGCTGGTCTGCTCAGAATGTGCCATAATAGGTCCTGAACAGCTGAAAGAAGAGTGTGCCTGTCACTGTCACAAACGCCTGAGGAAAACAATTCACTAGGAAGAAAGGTTCGGCTCATGATGGCATCGTTTCACGGTCATACACCCTTGCCATGGGGCTGTGGTGACACATCACGCTGTGGAAGGGACATGTGGTGGAGGCCTGTGCATCCCACGAAAGCTACGAGAGGCAAAAGAGACAGAGAGGAATCAGCCTGCGTCCCAAGATCCTTTTCAGGTGCACATGCCCAGTGACCTCACTGCTCCACTGGTCCCCTCTCCCTACACATTGCATCACACCCACATCACTACCAGCTGGGTGCCAATCTTTAACATGCAAACCTTAGGGCCCAAAGCTGTACTGAAGGGGCGGGGCTACTCAGCCTCCCGGAGGAGGTGCAGTGACATGCACCTGGCAGGCCACCTGCGGATGTGCGCTGCCACAGGCGGAAGCTCAGGCCAACAGAGATCTAATGGCTTTTGACCGTGAAGGCAGAAAAGAGCTGGGGCTGTGTCAGGGTGCTTCCTGAGCACCAGGAATGGGGGTTCCTGCTCCCTCCAGTGGTTGGTGTGAAGGGAGGCATCAGTTCTGAGAGGTGTCTTGCGTGCACACAGTGATGTCGGCAGGGTTGTGTCAAGCTTGTGGAGGGAGGACGGGGTCAGATTCAGTCAATGCCATGCTGGGAAAAGTGATGCCCACAGGGGTGTGTACAGTGAGCACAGCCAGCCAATGGGAAACACAGCTGTTCCCAAGGACCTTAGCAACAGCAAGTGTTTGCTTATTAATTGTGATAATTATTTGAATTGCCCTTGGATATTTTCACATAGTATTTTCAGCTTATTAAAGTAAATGTAAAAACTAAAAAATTAGAGGTTAAAGAGAGATGGCTTGAAGTTTAAAATCCCTTACTGCTCTTGTGGAGCACCCCAGGTTTGGTTCCCAGCACCCACACGTTGGGTCACAACCTTCTGTAGCAGTTTCTGGATTTCCTTTTCCAGACTCCTCAGGCACCAGACACAGTTGTGGTGCACAGACATATAGGCAGGCAAAACGTAAGTAACTTTATTCATGCATAAACAAAATTTTTAAGATTGAAAGTTAGTGTCACATCCTTAGCCATCAGGGAAATGCAAGTCAAAACAACTCTGAGATACCAGCTTACTCCTGTCAGAATAGCTAAAATCAAAAACACCAATGACGTTTTATGCTGGAGAGGATGTGGAGAAAGGGGAACACTTCTCCACTGCTGGTGGGAGTGCCAACTTGTACAGCCACTTTGGAAATCAGTATGGTGACTACTCAAGAAAATGGGAATGAGTCTACCACAAGATCCAGCAATTCCACTCTTAGGCATATACCCAAAAGAAGCACATTCACACAACAAGGACATCTGTTCAATGATGTTCATAGCAGCACTATTTGTAATAGCCAGAAACTGGAAGCAGCCTAGATGCCCCTCAACCAAAGAATGGATAGAGAAAATGTGGTAGGTACATTTACACAATGGAGTACTACTCAGTAGAAAAAACAATGGAATCTTGAAATTTGCAGGAAAATGGATGGAACTAGAAGAAATCATTCTGAGCAAGGTAACCCAATTTCAAAAAGACAAACATGGTATGTACTCACTCATATGTGGAATTTTAGACAGAGAGTAAAGATTACCAGCCTACAATCCACACTGCCAGAGAAACTAGTAAACAATGAGGACCCTAAGACATACATGGTCTCCCGGAGAGGAGAAGGGGAAAGGGTCACAATCCCCTGAGCAAATTGAGAGCATGGGAAGAGGGGGGAGGGAGCTATGAGAATGAGAAGGGAAGAAGAGGAAGGATGCAGAGGTCATGAGGGAGCAGAAAGGTTGAGTCAGGTGTAGATTAGAAGAAAGGATATGTGATAGGTAGGGTTTCTGTTGGGGGGTGGTAGAGGAGGACGGGAGGGAGAAGGGAACTGGGATTGTCATGTAAATCAATCTTGTTTCTAATTCAAATTAAAAAATGATTAAAAAAAGAAAGTTAGTGTTCTGGTGTAGAATGTTGCTGGTGACCATGTCAGAGGAGCAACAGGTGGCAACTGAGCTTCAGGAGTTCAGTTTCAGGAGTTCAGCCCACCAGAATCCAAGGCTCTGATGGGTGAATCTCAGATAGGCAAGGCACTGAGGGCTTCACTCCAGAATTTCTCTTGCCACTGCTGTTTTTACATGTTTGCCACTGCTATTTTTCTCTGGTATCTGGCACGGTGTGAATGGGTGTGTGTGGGGGATCCCCACTGCCTTTAATGTAGTATGTAATGATAAATCTTTATGCCAAACTGCCCTTTTGAGCCCTGCTTCCACATGGGTGCTTTCCACCAGGCCTCCAAGTTTCTGCCTGCTGCGTTAGGGCCCCAAATAATACACAGAGATTTATATTAGGTACAAATGCTGCTTGGCCAATGACTAGGATTTCTCATCTGCTAGCTCAGTCTTAATTACCATAAATCTATATATTTTATAAGACTTATCTTATTGGACGCCAGTAGCAAGCGTCCTGTCTTCCCGGGCTCCCATGGTGGCTCTGTGCTTTCTCCTGCCTTTCCCAGAATCCTCCTTGACTCCTAGCCCCACCTCTCTTGTTTTCGTATTGGCCACCAGTACTTTATTTAATCAACCAATAAGACAATCACATACACAGAAGCACTTCCCTATCAGTAGTGTGAGCTTCTCATGGCCATAGCCCCTTCTACTGGGCATTTTTACCTGTGAGTTAGTATGAAGATGATTTCTTCTTCAGCTGTACTGTTTAGCTCAAGTAATTATTTTATACAATAATGGTGTTTAATAGAACTTTGATGACTAAGAGGTTTTAACAAATGTATTAAAGCATTATGATAGAGGTTGGTTTAGTGAAAAAATTAATATACAGTATACAGTGTTGCCCCACCCATGATAAAGCCAGGCTGCAGAGGGTAGAAAATAGAAACAAGAACTGTGGCTTATGTTAATGACTAAGGAAAACAGTCTGAGAAGTCTGAAAGAAGAATGTGCAACAGAGTTGTGGGTTGGTAAGAAAATGCATAAGGATGCTCTTAAGAAGTGTAATGGGGCTGAGCTGTTCCAGCAAAACGTGTTTGTATGGTGACTATGTAGTAATTGTGTAACTTCTGGTTTGGGGGAAATCCTCTTTGTAAGAAACTTGGTGTGGGGAACATAAGAAGGGTGTCTGAAAAATAAAGAGAAGATAGAGAGACCCTCAATGTCTCTGTGTGTGTGTGTTCTCCTTTTTGCCTCCCCTAAAGAATTAAGTTTTACTCCTTCATTTAGAAAGGTCAGTTGAGTTATTAGACCTCTGACTCTGTAGCTCCCCTTTAATTTGTGAAATTCTGAAGGCTGGTCCTCCCAGTAGCAGAATGTAATTTTTGTGGATATTCACCACTTCTTTTTTTATCATCATCTTAGTTATGCTCTTGACAAGTTGTGCTTATTTATAGTGAACAGCGTGATCTCTGAAGTACTGAGATCTGAGTGTGTAACAGGACTCACCTCACACCCTCATTCACAAACACCTTGACACTTGTAACTAACACTCCTGTGCTCTTGTAGAGATTGGCTGATCTCTGCTCCTGTTTGCTGCTCTTTGCTTTGTCATCAGAAAATTTGAAATTTAAACTGAGAAGTTTTGAAATATGCAGCTCAAGTGTGATCATCTAGGGAGTGGCTGATTCCCAGCACCTTCCCCTGCTCTCAAAGGGTCACTTGCACATTCACAAAACTGCAACTTTTGCCCTCAGTCTCTGACATCAGCCACTATGTGTCTACTATAGTCCTTCCCTCCTGAAAACTGGAACCTTTCTGATTGCACATAAACTGTCACAATGCGGTAACTATCTTTCTATATCTGTCTTGTGTAACATCCTTCAAGTTCACCTGTTTTTTAAAGATTTTATTTATTTAGTATACAGTGTTCTGCCTGCCTCTATGCCTGCAGAAGAAAGCACCAGATCTCATTATAGATGGTTGTGAGCCATCATGTGGTTGCTGG